CCTCCTTCCTCCCTCCCTCCTCCCTCCTCCCTGCTCCCTGGGTTCAAAAAGCACGCGACGGCGGCCCCCTTACGCACCTACGCAGGCCCGGCAAGCCAGCACCCCTTGCGAATGGAGCTCGCGACGGACGCCGCAACGGAGCAGTACGACGACCTACTCGCGGGTTGCTGGCGGGACCTGCTGGGGCGGGACCTCGGCGATTCAGCCAAGGAGCTGCTGGGCCTCCCAGCCCGCTTCGGGGGCCTGGGCGCGCAGCTGGCTAGCACGCGCCGCCCACGGTTTTCCTGGCCTCCTGAACGCTGGCGGCGGAGGAGGTCACGGAGGAGCAAGGCAGCGGGACGATGGCAGACTGCTTGGAACGGCTGCCGCGGGCGGCCCAGCAGCTCGCCACTGCGCGGCGCGGGTTGCAAGACCAAGGGCTGGAGCTCGCCGCGGGCGGGGACCTGGCGACTGCGCTGCAGACGCCTCTGAAGCAAGGCCCAGCTACGGATAAGGTGCAAAGAAACCAGCACACAAGTCTGCTGCGACGCTCGCACCTTCCCAGACAGGCCGAGCTGCGGGGCGCGGCCGGCAGCGGCAGCGGCGCCTACCTGACCTACCCGGAGGACGAACTCTGCACGCTGGAGGACGCCCACTGGGAGACCAGCGCCAGGCGGCGGCTGCAGCTCCCGCGCGCGGAGCCCAGCCAGCTGGAGCTCGCGACGGCAGGGGCCGCCTGCTGCTTGCGCGGCGCCGACGGGGCTGGCTGCGCTGGGACTCTGGACGAGCGCGGCTACCATGCCTTGACCTGCCAGCGGGGCGGGGGGGTGCTGGCACGCCACGGCGGACTCAACAGGAGGGTCGCTGGGCTCCTCCACCGCTGGCGCGGCGAGCGGCCCCTCCTCGAGCAGAGGGTGCCGACTTGGGACCGCCAGCGCCCAGACGGCCAGCTCGAGCGCGCCATCTTGGATTTGGAGCACCAGGAAGACGACGGGGCCCAGTGGCTGGACGTCTCTGTTCGCCACCCCGCAGCCCCGCAGCCGGCACGCAGGCCGAGCTGCGCGTGGCTGCGCGCCGAGACGGCGAGTCCGCTGGGCGGCGTCGTCTGGCTGGCGTCGCCGGCGCCTGGCGCGCCGCCTAGCGCGGGCCGGCCACCTTGCGGAGCTGGCGCGCCGTAGCAGCTTGCAGGCCGCAGCTCAGGACCTGTAGGCCCGTGCCAGCTCCCGCAGCTGCTGGTCCTCAGGCAGGCGTCGCACCTGCCCGAGCACCAAAGGCGGGCCTCGGCGCCGAGCCGCCCCCCCGCCTCGAGGACGAAGGGCGTGAGTCGGGCGCCCGGGTAGCGCGCGTGCTTCTCCCGCTCGCCGCGCCTACTGGCCCACAGAGCAAGGGGCACCGCCCGGCCACGCGCCCTGCCGCCGCGACGCCCGCAGGACGCGGCCCGCCCGCGCTGAAGCTGGAGACCCCTGAAGCGGCCCTGGCGGTGCTGCCAGCTGGCACGACGGGCGGCGAGGGCCGGGCTGCTGCCCGGCGGCGCAGCCGGCTGCACGACGGGACGCCACGGCGCGGGCGCGGGCACCCTTGCCTGGGCTGGCCGCGGGCAGGGGCAGGACGGCGACGGCGGCGACGCGGAGCCCGAGCCGCAGGGGGGTGCAGGTCGTCGCGGTCGCCACGGAGCTCCCGGGTATGCTGTCCAGAGGCCCCGGCTGGCAGACGCCCTCCCCCGGTTGGGAGTTGCTGCTGTCTTAAACAGTCAGCAACCCCCGGGGGTGCCGCCCCTTCTGGCTGGGCGGTGGGGGTGTCTGCCGGCTCCCGACTAATGTGCGCCGGGCGCGCGGAGAAGACCCGCGTCCGCCGCGCCTCCTCCTCCTCCTCCTCCTCCTCCTCCTCCTCCTCCTCCTCCTCCTCCTCCTCCTCCCCCTCCCCCTCCTCCTCCTCCTCCCCCTCCTCCCCCTCCCTCCTCCCTTCACTCACTCCCTCCATCCCTCCCTCCCTCCTCCCTCCTCCCCTCCCCTCCTCCTCCATACTCCCTCCTCCCTCCTCCCTGATCCCTGCCTCCCTCCTCCCTCCGCCCTCCCTCCCTCCCTCCTCCCCTCCCTCCCCCCCCCCACTCCCTCTCCTTCCGTCGCGGATCTCAAAACGGTGGTGAAAGCGGTGTGATCTCGCTCCCTGTGCACCCCCCGCCAGTGAGTCGCCCACCTCTGCAAAGCCGCGGTCGCATCCAACATCCTTCCCCCTCCCCTCCCCCTCCTGGGGCTGTGGAGCGAAAGAGAGAGAGAGAGAGAGAGCGAGAGGGGAGAGAGAAAGACGAGAGAGAGAGAGAGAGAGCGAGAGGGAGGAGAGAGAAAGAGAGAGAGAGAGAGAGCCGAGATGAGACCCTCGCCATCGCTCGGGACGCTCAGTTCCTTATGCACTGTGAAACTTTTTTATCGGTTGCGACATTGTGCGGAAAGGGGGGGGGGCGGGGGGGGGGGGTCTGGCTCCGGACCTCCGCTTAGTGCGACTGTTTAAGCAGCAGTGCGTCCATCATGGGGGAGGGACCCCACGCGCTCGAAACGGGCCAGATCGGCGGGGTCAGGGTCCAAAAACATATGGGATTTGCCACACATCCAAAATCTGCTGGCACCTCTCACGGCAGATCAGCGGGGTCAGGGTCGAAAAAAAACAAGGGATTTGCCACATTTCTGAAAATTCGGCGGAACCCCTCACGCAGATCCGTAAGGCCAGGGTCCAAAAAACACAAGGGATTTGCCACATTTCTGAGATTCGGTGGCACCCCTCACGCAGATCGGCAGGGTCAGGGTCCCAACACACGGGGGATTTGCCACATTTCTGAAATTGGGCGGCACCCCTCACGCAGATCCGTAGGGTCAGAGTCCAAAAACAGAAGGGATTTGCCACATTTCTGAAATTCGGTGGCACCCGTGACGTAGATCCGTAGGGTCAGGTCCCGACACTGCTTCACAGCGGCGCCCAGACCTCATATTTGGCTTTGCATCTCCCATTATCCGAGACAGGGGGCCGGCGGCATGGGGCGAAGCCCTTACGGATATATTTTGGCATGCTCGTTTAAGCAATAATCTTTAATACATGAATAAATAAGCACATACATAGAACAACTACATTCATGCATCAATAGAGGAACAGGTGGTAGTTTTGAACGATCACCTGTTTGGCTTCGTGGGGTGCTTGTTTTCTCAGGGGGGGGGCCTCGAGGTGCCGCGGCAGAGGGTCCAGCTAGTCTCCGGCGCTGGCCTCGCCGAGGCACAAGATCTGCACCCGTCCCGGCAGTGTGCCCCAAAGGAGGGGATGGACGAGGAGAGCAGGGACGGGGAGGCGGGACGTGGGTGCTTCTCAAGTCGGGCCTGTCCCCCTACAGGGGGATTTGGACAAAGGAACAAAACTAGTGAACAACCGACGGCACCCCCCAGAAAGGAGGGGATGGGCGAGGAGAGCAGGGACGGGGAGGCGGGATGTGGGTGCTTCTCTCTCTGGAATGAGGTCGGGCCTGTCCCCCTAATTACAAGGGGATTTTGAACAAAAAACAAAAATAGTTCACAACTGCTGAGATCCACAAGGACACTACGCACGCCAGCTGCAGAGTGCACGAGCGGAGCCCACCCGTAGCGCTGGTTTTCGCCACAGCTTAGGAGGACACTCTCCCGACAGAATGTGCTCATACCCCGCCGTCCGCGCGCGCGATCTGGACCGATGCTGGTGTGAACAGCAGGCGATGCGAATTCCCACATAACACGCATCACTGTTGCACAGGAGGAGAAAGAGGAGGAGGAGGAGGAGGAGGAGGACGAAGGAGGAAGAGGAGAGGGGAGGGAAGCAGAGGAGTACCCCAAAGCCTGGAGCAGCGGTCAGGCCAACCTGCAACAGGTGAGCCGTTGCGCGCATCCGCGGACCTGCGAACCTGACAGTGTATAGATCTGAGCCCACGCTCCGTGAATGACCACGTAAACTCACGGCCCGGGACGGAACCCTCGAGAATCGTGCACAGGGACGCGGCACGAAGGAGTGAAGCACCGATGAATCAGCCCGCCGCGGAGCAGCAGCCCGAACTGCACCACCACCAGCCAATCCTAGAGCATGCGGCATGCGGCCACCGCACGACCACGGGCAGAGGCCAGTGGGAGGGAGGAGGGCCGGGGAGCCGGAAGGGGAGGCAGGGAGCGGGGCCCGCCCCAGAAGGGTCCGCCAGCGCTCCGCCGCGGGGAGGGAAGAGGGGGAGGACAGGGAGGAGAGGGGGAAGCTACGGAGCCTGGAGCTGCAGCCTCAGAGTTGCTCCAAGCATGCTCCAAAAGTGGTCGAGAAATCGTCCCCGGACTATTTCTATCATTTTTGGAGGATGTGGGTGCTTCTCTCTCTCTCTCTCTCTCTCTTTTTCTCTGGGAAGAAAAAAACACATAAGCATAAACTGTTATGTCCGTTTCTTCTCTCCCTCCGTCTGCTCCCTGTCCCTGCCTCGGCGGCGAGCCCGGGGGGGGAGGCGAGAAAAAAAATGCCTGCTCAGAAGGCTCGGAAGTCCCCCGGCCTTCGGAGAAGCTTAGAAGAAGAAAAAACCGCATAAGGATAAACTTTTGGCGCTCCCCGCAGATTTCTCAAATTCGCGCTGGACCCCCTCCCTGGCGCGCGGAGCGCGCCAGGGGCGGCGCCGGAGGCGCCGCCGGGAGGTCCCAGGCGCAGATCCAAGAAATTCGCGCGGAGCGCTAAAAATTTATGTTTATGTTTGTTTCCTTCTTCGACTCTCAACATGAGACGCGGCCAATCGCACAAGTAAGCGACATATTCTCAGTGGGAAACCGTGCCTTCCCCCAACAAGGCGGGGACTTGGACAACGCGAGATGGCGCACTCCTCTATGACCGTGGAACGCCTCCTCATTGTCTTCGCAGGAGGGGTTCGGGGTGGCGACAGCGACTGCTTCTTCTGGACCGGCTGCTTGACGGTGGCCCTGGCGCGCCGTAGGTCGGCTGTGGTCCGCTACACTCCAAGATCCTGGCTACCCGTTGCATGCGCGATCCTGGGCAAGTGCGCGGGGCTCGTCTTCAACAAAGCGCTGCTGCTCCATCCTCATCCTTCCTTCTCCTTCCGCCCGCTTCCTTCCCTCCTCGCGTG